CGGATTTACTAGTATACATATTACAGCTTACCTCTCCGACTGGTCATTAATATTACTCACCACTTGTGGACACCAGCCTAGGGACCTTCCGGACATTCAGCAGTGAAAAATCCGGGTGAAGTCAAGATAAACGCACCTGAAAGACGAGGTAGGAGGCTCGATCTGACATTAGTATCGAAAAAAGGTTGCCACTCCCCCTTTACCCATGTTCAGTAACACAAAATACTCGCTGTTCTCTTTTCTCCTGTCCTGAATTTGTTTCCTCTTCTGCATATGATGAGAACCGTCCTGTTTCTGTGGACGTCTCTGTCGCCAGGAATGTTACATACGTACAAGTTCGGAACCTGACTTTTGAACTACTACAAAACTCAACTACCTCTGTGAAACCTATAGCCAGTTTAAAAATTCTCGATCTTTCCTGCTGTAGTTTTGTGTAAGAACGTGCTGAGGTGGTAAATGTGTGTTCGTGAAGCCGTAATTTGTAATTTAGAATGAATAGCTTATTAATATGAGCTGGTAAAAGGGTGAGTTTTGCAGCAGACTTGTCGCTATGAAAGATCAAGTGTAGAAAGTACCGAAATTCGTTGATTTCCCCATGCATGTACTAGTGAGTTCATTTGAGGGACTATCACTTCCCCAACTTTCACATAAGTAAGTGTTTTTCAAAACATTTTCAAATCCCCTTTTCCCACGCAGATATAGCTGTAGACAGTCGAAAGTTGAACTTGAGGTGAAAAAATAGAAGAATTGCTCAAATTTCTAACAGCAGTACGAACGCGAAAGCCTCGCGTATAGAAAAACAGAACTTGTCGACTATTTTAACATCGGCCGTTTCCTCCTACCTGCAACTTTGTGAAAAATGAATTTTAGATAGGGTTTATTCATCCAGTAATTGAAATTTTGATAAATTGTGAAAATACGTAGAAACTTTGAAGAACAACTGTTACATTTTATAGTTTCGGCATATGTTGAATTTTTTATTTATTTTTGCATTAACAGTAATGCAGACATACTGATTACATCCTGTTAACATACTTAGCTACAATGTTGGCAGGATCCACAGCTACCGCCGTACGTTTAAACGCTGCCAGTAGCTTTGATAAATATCATGGGTAAAAGCTCCAATTTGGTAAAATCGGCGATTCTACCGGCAGAGAAGATGGGGTCCATTGCTATAACTTACCATTTCCCGAACATATCCCAAAAATTAAAACATTCAACCACATTATTGGTAGCTATAGCTATGTTTGCCATAAAACCTAAATATCGTGCTAAACACGCTAAATTACAGATCGTACCAGCAGAGACTTTAATCGGAGTTACTGTTGAAAGAGCTACCGGTAATATTGCCGACCCTACCAGGTCTGAGTCTCTATCCTGCTATATATATATATATAGCAGAAATATATATGTATATAATATATGTTAAATGGTTCTTGGCCATATGTTATAGTCAACGAAGAAGGAAAAGATACTAGTAGACAGTCACATACATAGCAGCACTTTGCAGAGACTACTGTACTGCTACTATGGAATTTTCGCGAATCCTCCTCAATAAAAAAAGAAGAAGAAAAGTTAAATAGGACGACACCAAGCGCTTTTGTTACGTGGTCTGTACACACGAATCCAGACCAGAGACACGAAATAATACATCAGAAAGAAAGTTGCAATCGTCATATTCTCGGAAGCGCAAGCTGAATTCAATCGTAAAAATCATTTCAGGGACGTCCTTGAATTATTTCGCGATCATGTCAATCTAAATGGAAAACAGCGGTATGTAATTAACATTATAACGAACACCATTCCCCCTTTTAGCGTGTATTTGCTATTTAGGTTCAAGAAAAAGGAAGCGAAAGGGGGAAACAGTAAATTTGAAAACGTCATATTTCCTGGAGGTCGAAAGATATGACAAATTTTGTTACCTGTTATGATGTTTGTGTCTGCGGATTTATTTTTATTCTAATGAAAGGACATATATACAGAAATATATATATATATATAAACAAATATATAAACAAACAAAAAAGAGATAAGAATGAACAAGAATAAGAATACAACGATTGCGATATATGATGAAGGTTGCGAAAATTTTGTATTAACATAAACATTAAAAAGCGATGTTACAGTGGTTGATAATGATTTTATGGGTATAATTCGTTCAATGACAGTCAGATGCAAAAAGCCAGTGGAGAATTAACTTAGCTTTTGGCTTTGCAAAGAGACTGCTATTAACTTTTTGACAAAAACAGCTAACGACAGAAAGAATGGAAACGGAGAAAGGGAGTGCAGTCACACACAAAAAAAACACGCAAAAATCCCTCACAAAAAGTTCAAATCAAATAGGGAGGAGTGTGAAGAACGACCCAAAACTTGTTTGTACTAAAACTGACAATACAACATTATTCCATGTAGTTTCACTGATAATGATAGAAGTAGTTGTGATTCTTCTTATATGTTTTTTTGGCTGTAGACAATAGATATTACTCAACGACCGATCACTAAAGGGGTTAATCAATCAGCAAAACAATCTTGAATTTGATGAAAATATTATAAAGTAGTCAAATCATTGTTCACTAGCACTAGAAGTAAGTTCGGAAATTAAATGCCGACATCAGCTTGTTGCGAGCACGTTCCATGACATGTTTGTTTATCTTACACCCCGCTGGTTACACGCAGAAATGACACTTGCGGTAGCAATTCCGCATACTAGTCGCATTGTGGAGGTTCAACTACTATAACATCCACATTATGGTGTCATCATGGTTCCCTTATTTGGGTATTTAACTGTGTCCGTCGTGTGGGATCGTGTGGCGTAAGGACAGGGCGTTAGGCTCGGAACCAAGAGGTCCCGAGTTCGAGTCCAGCCATGCCACCGATCTTATTCCCTTGGAAAAGACACCGTGTTACACGAATTTCCTCAATTTACTCAGGTGGATATGTCTGTCGCCCGTTTCCATGCGTTTGTCAGCGTTGGTGGCGGCATCGTTGAAAAATAAGTTGAAACATTATGAGTGTGACGTTGCCGTGTGTTGTAATAAATGTTGGAATAGAAAAAAACTGTGTCCATGTTCAATTGGTTGTTATTTTAATAGATATATGTTACGCTTTTATTCGTATTCTTAATGTCGAGAGCTCTTAGTACGTTCTTTTATTTCATTTTAAATATATTTGTAACTTTCAACAAATTTCATTGCTTGTTGGTTGAATTAAACTGAACTGAACTGAAGTGCGCCAGCCGACTGTTTCATGGTTGTGCTACGGTTGGGGACTGGTTGGGAGTCAAATTTTAATTAAATCAATGAGGTTATAACACTTCTACTCATAACGATAACGATTATTATCGTTATCAATATCTGTACATGATGTTATCCTAGGTTACAAATATAACTTCACGATATTGTAAAATTTCACTATATTAACGCATTGATACTACTTGAAAAGTTTACAATTTGTAAGTACAAGTATGGTGAATACAAGGGAAATATTAGGATATTATTTGAAAACGAATGTTCCGCGAGAGGTTTAATTTAAACGTTGTCTACCACATGTAAATATGTGTATTGCATGTATTGCATATTGACTGTATATTTCAATAAAAGATGTCTTGACAAAAAACACTCCTACTCAAATCAGTGAGGTTATAACACTCCTGCTCAACTTTAACTAAAATTTGATTCCGAATTTTGTATTGAAAGGTAGGCGTGGCCGAATTAAATCTAGTCAGACTTGGCTCCCGAACTGTTTGTGGCGATGGAAAGTTTCTGAATGTGTGACAGGAGAGGTGGGTCAGAAAAAAGAGGTGGGTCCGAAAAGCTGCTGTTTCTAGCGCAGCACTCAGTGGCTGCCGCCTTTGACCTGCTCTTGAACCACAAAAAAGGAGTCTCTAGTGTCAATCTGACGATCTAATCCAGATACGGGTCATCAGTTGCGCGGTTGGCATTTATCCTTGACATGTTACACGTCACAGGCAACCATGGATTATGTTTACCGTCGTTGAGGTAGCGCCAATTAACCTGAGTGTTCGCAAACACCTGTTATGAGTGCCTATACAAAGTAATGAAGCATGCCCTCTCCCCACCACCTTTAGCCTTGTTAGTTTTAGTCCGCTCCCCAAGATCCGCTACCCTGCCAGGGAGCGGACTAAAGCTAACAAGGCTGAACTCTAGGCTACACCATGTACCACCACGCAATTATCTCCACTGGATTAACACAGTTCACAACAAACACACATGTTGTTGTGCACACATGTACAGGTTACGTGCCCTTCTCTATTTATATGTGCCATGCTAGATCAGGTCACCTGAAGTCCTTTTAGGAATACACTACGGTGCCATGAACATAGACAAAACTGTGTAACAATTCACAACTTGTGCACAGTAAATTCAAACAGGTCAGGGTAATTTTACAGTCTATATGATGCCCTTGAGTCCACCAACAGTCTGCCTAGCAGTAGAATGACATGTCAGGTTCTTCCCCTTTTCTGTCCCCACACCCACACAACCAAAGGGGGGTTTACACATGTTCTTCCATCGCTACCATTATCGTGGTGCGTTTGGCATAGTCTCGACCAATCTTAAGAGGCGGCTGGGAAGAGTAGACATTGGCCAAATAGATAGATAAGATGCCAGGGGAGTTAGTCAGCTGAAGGAGCGTCATGTCATTAATTTGGGAGTTATATAAGTTATACAGGTTTCCTAACGGAGACAGATAACGTTATTTAGATAGTACAATATAATATCAGACTGAAAAGAAGGCAGAAGTAAAAGGACGTGTTTTCCAGGTGTGGCTTTTTGTAGGAGGGGCACTCCTACAAAAATAGTTGATGATTTACTATTTTTCTCAGTCTATTCTACATGTAGGGAAATACCCTGACCTGTTGGACGTAAAAAGAAACAATACATCAACATAAGAGGGTGTTCCCCAAATGTAAGAAAAAATAACCTCTGCGTTGTTCTTAAGTCATTGCTGACCAGGGGGCAGTTAGTTTTAAATGGACTTTCCGTCCGGAAGTGTTCCTCATTCAGAATTATCCACCTGAGCGTATAGTAGCTTCAGTTTACACCAAGCACCCACGATGGCAGCGGTTGATATTCGCCTTCCGTGGCTCGACAAATTCGATGGAACGTTTAAGTCCAAGTCCAAATGCAGGTGAGAAATGTTAGTCAGGATACTACGTGAAAAGGAGAAAAGATGTTGGTCAATTTTTATAGCTCCGATTCATTTAGCTTTTCGGTTGCTAACAAGGTAGAGGGTTGATGTCACGGGTAACATCATAACGGTTAAGTGTGCAAGTTGGATCCGGTATGGTGTCAGGTTCACGTGAAGCAGCCGGGTACTAAATACTGTCACCCTTCTTAGCAGCGTATTTGTGGTCATTTATAATGGCAGCGTTCGATCCAACGATTTTGCACTGTACGCGTACTTCTTCGCCCATTGCTTGTCCTGTACGGATGTTTATTTTGTTAAAGGCAAGCAGGTGTTGTCACGTTTACGTATACATTGTCGTTCGGACGCTGCACACATTCCTTGATTGTTCTTGTGCATACCGTACGTATATGAAAATTCTGTAACACAGGCCAACCAGTCACTGCGGTAAGGCCGGCACTTAGCCCAGGGTAATTCCAATGACGTCACTTTTCCGCTGCCATGGAAACGCCCCCGCGCACACCTATCTGCAGTACCACTACATACCGCAGGGAGGCGACACAGCCATGCGCGTGTAAAGGGGTCATTTGGGATTTAACTTTTAAGTTCTAAAAGGCACAGATCTTGACATTTTATCTGTGTCAGTAGACGGCTTTATGAAGCAAGTTTAAACTACAATTTTCAACACCAAAAAATTAACGTTACCCGAATTTTCGATTGTACAATTCCTCACAACTCATTCCTTGACAAAGAATGGGGTTGTACAGTCAAAAAGTTGGGTAAGTCCATGTTTTTGCCTTGCATATATATTGGACTTCAAACCACCGACGCAATTTCTTCAGAAGTAGCTCCTATATATGATATCATCAAAGTAAAACGTTAAGGAATATTGAAATTCAAATCAGCTCATCTTGACTTGTCTTGAAAGTTCATCTGTGTTGGTAAAGGTCATTATGAAACAAGTTTGAACTGCAATTGCCAACACAAGAAATTGGACTCACCCAAATTTTGGACTGTACAACTTCAGTTTTTTTGAAGGAATGAGCAATCCACCGCTTCCGTGACGTCACCCAGATAACACACGTGACTCCGTGAGCAGTGGATCATAGGTTGCAGAAAGTCTGTGGCGCCCCCTGTCTCTGTTGAGAGATGGTCGCGCGAGGGATTTACATCAGGGCATTACAACCATCCCTCAACAGAGACGGGGAGCGCCACAGACTTTCTGCCACCTATGATCCACTGCTCACGGAGTCACGTGTGTTATCTGCGTGACGTCACAGAAGCGGTGGATTGCTCATTCCTTGAAAAAGACTGGAGTTGTACAGTCGATAATTTGGGTGAATCCAATTTTTAGTGTTGGCAATTGCAGTTCAAACTTGTTTCATAATAGCTGATCTTGACCTTTGGTTCCAGAGGAAGCAAGCAGCTCCTGATGATGATGGACAAGGGCTTTGAAAGAGGGCCATGCAACGACTGGACTGCGCATGCGCTACACTCCCAGGGCCCGTCCATGTCAAAAATCGCAGAGGTAATCAATCCTCTCAGATTTACGCCAAACATAAAAAAAAATCACACATTTTCACACTGATACAAGTTAGTGGCATACGGCTTCATTATTATTATTATTTGATAATTATTATTGTTATTATTATTATTATTATTATTATCATTAGGTGGAAATTATTAGAAACACAATTTTCTAAACTAGTTACAAGTGGATGTAAATGGTAGCTATAATGTATGTATTTTATGTAAGAGGTGGTAGTGTTGTCATTATTTGGAGATTTCTTAACAAACAATAAACTATCAAAGGATGATTCACTGCAACTTTTTCACGATACTCCCCCAGCTGACACGGCTGTCCATCGAGCAGTCGACAGAAGAGGGTTCCACCACCCTGTTCACCATGGAGAGGTACACGGCACTACCGTCCTGCTCGGCCGACAACATACCCGACCTGGACTCCGTTCTGGGAACGTGTATAAATGATCTGAAACGGAGCAACAAGAAGGACATGTGTCGTATCCTGTGCTTGTCGGAGGGTAGGGTTATCGTTCATTCACTCATTCATTCATTCGTTCGTTCATTCATTCATTTATTCATTCATTCATTTAACGTTCACCCTGCCCATCTCAGATGGTAGTCATCATTCATTCGTTCATTCCTTTCTTTCTTTCTTTCTTTCTTTCTTTCTTCCGTTCATCCTTTTTTCCTTCCTACATTCCCTCATTCCTCCCTTCATTCATTCATTCATTCCTTGCTGGAGATCCCACTACCCTTATCCAAAAGAGCAGGAATCCTTCTCAGTGTGATCAGTTCAAACCTTACAGACTGGTGTTAAGTTTGAAATCTTGGAGAGGTGATAGTCACCTGTTATGTCAACCCTTCCACAATTGTGGTAAAGTTTCATAAATAGATAAATAAACATAAATAGGGAAATAACCGTTTTGTTATCTCTCCCCAGACGTTGCCAGCTGGACGCCCCAGAACGTGCACGACTGGTTAGAGTGGGTAGGGAAGGAATACGAGCTGCCGAAGGAGAAACTGGCGCAGGCGCTCACAAACTTCGACAACCGGCAGCTGACAGGTCTCCATCTCTGCAGCCTGACACTGGAGAACTTCTGTTCGCTGTTTCCCAGAGACAACGGCGGGGACCTGGTGTATGGACTACTGCAGGGCTGGAAAGGTAAGGGTCAAGTTTTGATAGTTCAGTGCGTCCGTCATCAGATAATATATGAGTAAGGGAATGTGGGGGGGGGGGACCTGTCATTCAGTCCTTGATACTGAATGACAGATATGCCAGTATTACTCTCGTTGGTACTGAATGACAGGCTATTTTATTGACCAGTATCACTATCCTTGGTACTGAATGACAGCTATACCAGCATTACTGTCCTTGGTCCTGAATGACAGCTATACCAGTATTACTGTCCTTGGTACTGAATGACAGCTATACCAGTATAGCTGTCCTTGGTGCTGAATGACAGCTCTACCAGTATTGCTGTCCTTGGTACTGAATGACAGCTATACCAGTATAAGTGTCCTTGGTGCTGAATGACAGCTATACCAGTATTACTATCCTCGGTCCTGAATGACAGCTATGCTAGCATTACTGTCCTTGGTACTGAATGACAGCTATACCAGTATTACTGTCCTTGGTACTGAATGACAGCTATACCAGTATTACTGTCCTTGGAACTGAATGACAGCTATACCAGTATTACTGTCCTTGGTACTGAATGACAGCTATACCAGTATTGCTGTCCTTGGTACTGAATGACAGCTATACCAGTATTACTGTCCTTGGTACTGAATGACAGCTATGCCAGTATTACTGTCCTTGGTCCTGAATGACAGCTATGCTAGCATTACTGTCCTTGGACCTGAATGACAGCTCTACCAGTATTACTGTCCTTGGTACTGAATGACAGCTATACCAGTATTACTGTCCTTGGTACTGAATGACAGCTATACCAGTATTACTGTCCTTGTTATTGAATGACAGCTATACCAGCATTACTGAATGACAGCTATACCAGTATTGCTGTCCTTGGTGCTGAATGACAGCTATAGCAGTAGAAGTGTCCTTGGTGCTGAATGACAGCTATACCAGTATTACTGTTGTTGGTGTTACTGTTCTCACAAAACTGTCAAGCACTGTTTATATATTGGATCGTTTCCACCCCTCCTCTACCCTTCCTACTATCTGCAGATGACTTTGCCGACACCTTCACGGATGGATCCGCCTACGGACCTCCGGTATTTCCCGCCGACACAGACCAGCCACACCAGGAGATCATGGGACCAGGGGACCCCATGCTACCAGGTACGGCGTTTTGGTAATGAATGTACTCATTGTACTAATAAGGTGCTGTGAGGAATTAAAAAAATTATCACACAACACATACATTTTATAGCAATCAAGTTGCGAGATGAAATTCCAGATTTCAGACTTCTAGGAAATATGCAGTCCTTGATTTTCTGAACCCTCCCATATGCTGGCTCCCGACAAGATTCTGAGACCTTTGACCTCTGATTTCTGCCTGTCAATCTTTCACCTACCCACGTACTGTCAACCTACTCCATCGGGACAAACAGTACTCAAAGTCATCCACACACGCCAAAAAACATTTTTCGTACCCGCTGAAGTAAAAAGAAACAAAAACAATGTCGTTTTCTTTGTCATCCCAGGGCCGGTCCCAGAACAGGCCCAGTGGAACCCATCCTGGCCAATGGACTCCCGTCAGCGGTATGACAGTAGTGCCTGCAGTATCGGCACAATCTCGCCAGGTGGCAGCTCCAGCACGGACGGGTGTTGCGCGCAGACAGCTGCAGTCAAAATTGAGATTTCCGACACGGAAGATGACGTGAGCTCTGAACTTAACACGGATCATTAGTATATTTGGTCATCAAGTCTTTGATTAAAAAAAAATTCTATATTAGCCATTTGAATATTTGTCACTGGCGCCTTATTTTATACTTATTTCAACGTGAAACGTCACTGACACCATTTTGTTCTACGTCCAGGAAATTGATTTAAGCTATTTGCGTAGGAAAGGCTGGAGGAACCCTGTACCTACCGCATCGGGACCTGGCTATCCGAAAAGTAAGTGATGATAGATTTAGTTATAGAACTTCCAACACCTAGGACTGATTTCGTGAATGGATGTAACTTTACGTTACGTTACGTTACGTTAATCAACTAAAAGCTACATTTTCGTTATTTTCGTACGTAAAAACTTACTTTGCAATTCTTATGAGAAGAGCTTACTGTGCCGTCAAGTCGGAACTATGTATGTAGTATAAATCCGTCGCTTTTTGCAACACACCGTCCACCTGGCGATTATACAGACACGTGCAGAAACTCATTTAGTTTCAACTCAAGACCCCATTCCCACTAGGATAAAACTGTCCGGATCGAGCCGAATTGATTCGCTTTGATCCGGGTTCGATCCGGCTCGATCCAGCTCGAAGCCGGCTTGAAACCGGGTCAAAGCGACTCATTTCGGCTCGATCGGGACAATATATTTTATCCTAGTAGAAATGGGGCCCAAGAGTTTTTAATTTGTTATTCCAGAGCGCAGGAGCGGAGGCCAGCCGATCCTGTGGTTGTTCCTGCACGACTGTCTCGCCAAGCCGGAGGAGTGGTCACACGCCATCAAATGGGTCAACAGGACGGAGGGAATCTTCCAGTTTTCTTCCGAACACAAGGAAAAGGTGAGTTCTGGACGACATTTTAACATTGGTTTTGAGCCTTTATTTAACCTTGAAAACGTCCATCAAAGTACATGTAATCTCTTTTGCTTTAACCCCTTTTCAAGAGTTCATTGGACACCACAATCGAATAGTCATTTTTTTCCTTTCTAACTCGTAGAAGTGGCGGTAAAAACCACCAGAGAAAATATGTTCTTGAACAATATGGATATTAAACACGTACACTGTCAAAGCAAATAATAATTTCACGAATTTCACACGAAATATTTTTAGCGTTAATCCCTTCGATATTTGCATGGATCTAACAAAAGTCTTTCACGTTTCCATATACATGTATACAAATAGGTAACAGTAAAATATGTCAACCATGTACAGGTTGCTAGGCGCTGGGGTGAGATCAAAGGGAACCGCTGCGTCATGTCGTACCAGAAGATGGCGCGGTCCCTGAGGAACTACTCCAACAACAACATCGTCATGAAGAAAGTGCGCAGGAAACTGCAGTACCAGTTCCTGCCGCAATGGCGCCATGTGTAAACCTTGAACACATCCATGTCAACATGTAACAAGTTGTATCTCCTGCTTTGAGGATAGTGCACTAGGTCACAACCGGATTTTGATCGTTGTTTTACATACGTTTATAATAGTTTTTACGTATTGATACAAGATGTAAGATTACAGGGAGTCGGGTGGAATAGAATGATATGTACCACTGCGAGGTTTGTCATATATTATCATTTTTTTTCTCGATTTAATAGACTAAGTATCTTCTACAGAGCCAAACGCATGAATTAGAAGCCGTCCTTCATATTTAGCTTACGAAAACGGGCAGCTTTAGTGTTACGAAAAGCACATTTGCAAATGTTATTGCAGGGTTTGGCAACAATGTAAAACATGGCGCTGGGCGCTGTTTTACAGACATAGACTATGTTTTAAAGAAAAGGTGGTCATAAGAAATACCATAAAGTAAGCGTAAGGGTAGGGGATAAGGTAGCAACATGCGTTCTGTTTACATGATAATGATAAATGCATTTTGTATTTTGAGACATTTCTCAGAATGATCCTGTATGTGACGCTTTGTCACAAACAACAAAGAAAGTGCACGATGTCACTCAGCGTTCATGACACTTGTGCACTGCAATGTATGTTCAATCTAATGGTGTTATTATTGAGGTATTACAAGTGAAAGTTGAAAGTACACTCATGTTAACTCACAGCTGTTAAGATGTTTTTTCTTAATTTTTACTTGAATCTGCTACAGATTAAAATTGTACTACGCAAATCTATATAGCGCATGGTTGGTGAAATACTACACAGCAACGGAGTTGAACATTTATCGATTTGGACATTCCATACCAAACTAGAAGCCTACCGTTCGAAGTAACGTTATATATATTTCAGTGGTGATAGAAGATTGTATAAGATTGTTGATTTGCAAGCAATTAAAGATGCAGAGAGTGAAAACATAACCATTTTGTTTTGTTTTGTTTCACTTACAATCAAAACACACCTCTACTATGGTCTTCAGCTGACGACTATTAAAGTGGGGACTGTCTCATAATTCCCACATTGTTTACATTCGGAGCCATATCGTCTGTTACCACAATTTCGCCTCTCAGAGACTTAACCTTTTTTTTCAAAACGGTCACAGTAAAATTTTCATTCAAGACAAAACAGTTATAACTGGAACACTAAAACTGTTCTGGCGGAAACGACACATAGTTCGTTTACCGCAAAGAATGCCGGGACAGCTTCCGCTGAATAGGTTACCCTGTCGCTGAGATAACAGCACTACATGTATGTTGATGACTATGTTAACAAACCTGGTGTCCAGTCTATCGTGGTTGGGGCGGGTTCTCTTCGGGGCTGCAGGAGCTCGCTAGTGTGTGTAATTAAAATGAACTTCGAAATTGAAGCACAGTATCTTTACACGCCCTGAGAGCAGTAATGGATTTAGGTCTTTTTATGTTTTATGCTTGTGACGCGCCCTAATTGTATTAACCGTTGCCTAATTATAATGTCTGCACAGTAGGTCTGGCGTTGACGCTTGGGATTGTTTTTGTTGAAATATATAAAACTTTACGGAGGATTGTTACCTATGGCTTCTTGTTAAATTTTCAAATGGTCCTCCTCAAGCTGCGACCTTCGACAGGTCTTGTGCACCTCCACTATAAACTCCAATGTGAAAATTGTGTATAAAATAGCTATTTTCAGCACATTGCTCAGCGGCTGAGGAGATGTTTTTATTTTTCCTCATGGATGAACCATCTACCCGGTCGGGGTCAAAGCTTTGTTGTTGCACGCTTCGACGGATTGACGAAATGCTGCTCGAACGCTTCATTTGGCATTTATCTGTCTGGGCATACTGTCAAATCATCGAATATCATGATTCAGTCATTTGGAAACATAGTCACAGGCTTCCCCCAGGGGCTGGTTTGAAACCAAAGGGGTGATGTCGACCGTCGGGACCATATAACGTCACTTCATGGCTTTTATTTCTAGAGATTGTTTTGACAAAGAAGAAAAGAAGCAGAGTTGCCAATGGATAAAATGATATCAAATATCGAATTTAATTCATTAATGGCCTGCTCCTGAAAATCAAATGGTTACTAGTACTCTTCAAAATGGAATCGTCCAAAAGATAATCGCAAGCCAATTTACATCGCACTACGTACTCCTGCCACAGCCCGCGCTGTCCTCAGTTGGGGTTAACATTCCCTGCAGTAGTCTAAGTTACCACATAAATCGATCGTGTTAATTCTATTGAGTGATTCTGTAGAACAACAGGTTTCCTGAATATTAACCAGGTCGAGAAACTGCTGGTTGAATCGTTCGGGATCAAGTGCTATCAACGACGAAAACGCTGTGTGAAAAAATATGCCGAAATGCGGTAAGTTTAAGACAATCTCTCAATTTGTACATATCTTGTAACATATATATATTAGCCTTGAGACTCTCTCATCTGTGTCAAGCTTGACTATAAAGCTATTGATGTGTGTGCAGCCCCCTCTTGGTAAACGTAAGGTAACGTTAACGGTTACGTAGCCACTGCAAAATGGTATGAGAATAAAGTTTTAAGTTTGATAAGCCAGTGTTCTAATTCTTGATAAGCATTGTATTTGCATTTGTAATATTGGTGATACTGTGTAGACTGGCATGATACGCTGCTCAAGGCGACACTTCACATTTTGAGCCAAATGGAATGCAAAAACAACAACGCATTCGCCTGTGGGCCCGAAACCTGATGATGCCATATAGTTTGTTTACCGCAAAGAATGCCGGGACAATTTGCAGCCAATCGATGTGAAAGGTCCTCACTCTTGCCTTGCGGGAAACAAACTCTGACGTAGTACTGTATCAAGCCCATTGTTATGTTTGAATGCCCAAAGTATCCAGTCCGACTGGTCTGCGCAAGCTATAGAAGAGGCCCTCTACCCTTGTAGGTTTGCATGATAATTGTAAATTAATAGGAAACAACTGTATTGCATACAGAAGAGAGATGTTTTAAAATTTTTAGACGTTGAAAACTAATATACTCTATCAGACTCCGTAGCATGAGATGAGAGCTACGAACGTGTACAATATAGACGATTTTCATTGACGTCATGATACATTGTAATTATGTGAATCTCGGCGACCAGGGGTTGGCGGGTAAATTAATTAGTAGCAGCATATGCATGTTGGCATGTCAACAGACATACACTGTAATCCAACATGGCGCATGTGAAATTCCTGTATTGTAGGATCAATAAGGGTAACAGACCCCAGATATCAATATCAGTACAACGCGGATCCCCTTACTTTCCCCTTACTCTAAATGTCAATATTTTACATTCGATCTAAATGTCAATATTTTACATTCGATCTAAATGTCAATATGTTACATTCGATCTCAGTGACAATATTTCACCTTTAATCTAAACGGTAGTTTTAATGTTATTTTCTTTCGTTTTAGGGTCATCATCTGCCTCCTGCTTTGTCTCCCCCTTGTGCTCTATGTGGTTCCTGTGGGCGGAAGGAAAATTAGAAGTACGTCTGTAAGATGCTCATACATGTATTTGAATACGGTGCATGCCACCGACATGTGAACACAAACTATTTTTGCGGGTATCAGTTGATGGTGACTTCGCTGACTTATCACCACATGTCTGATTTTCTGTGAATCTTCCATGTTTTAGTTTTTTATGACGATTCACCACATTTGTGGAAGGATTGACATAACAGGTGACTATCACCTTTTCAAAGATGTCAACCCCGAGACCAGACTGTAACGTTTGAACCACTCACACCGGGAAGGTCCCCTACTCTTTTCGATAAGTGCGGTGGGTTCTTTAACGTGCGTGGGGTGTGGCTCTCCCCAAACACGGGACCTCCAGTTTCATGTCTTGTACTACAGAGTGACGTATTCATGTGTCTACCTTGCAGAGAGGTGTAAGCCTTTGACGTTCCCAGACACGACAAGAAGTTGCAATCAGGCTCCAAACGCAGAAGGGTGGTACCGTAAAGGAACCGTGTGCAACTATGCCTGCAGGTTGGGATGTGTGAAGGACACAGGGGGCACAAGGAGGGTGTGCAAGGTCAAGGGCAGGTCAAAATGGTGGACTGGAGGACGCGGACTGAAGTGTCTTTGTGAGTGACCAACTTTCAAATACATCTTATAACTCCAGATCTATAGAATAGTATGAACGTGTGATATAACGCATATTTTAGACCGCTACATTAGTTTAGCAAATAAGGTGCGGAAAGCTTGCTCAGTATCAATCAGTGTTGTGTTGTGTTGTGTTGTGTTGTGTCGTGTTGTGTTGTGTTGTGTTGTGTTGTGTTGTGTCGTGTCGTGTCGTGTTGTGTTGTGTTTTGTTTTGTTTTGTTTTGTTGTGCTGTGTTGTGTTGTGTTGTGTTGTGTTGTGTTGTGTTGTGTCGTGTTGTGTTGTGTTGTGTTGTGTTGTGTTGTGTTGTGTTGTGTTGTGTTGTGTTGGAGAAGACGCGCCGTTGGCTTTTGTCCAGGCAACCCGTGTGTCGGTGCGCCCAGCCACCCCGAAGGTTACACCAGTGATTGCGGTGCAGGCACCTACCCAGCCGGCCACACATGTGTCTTCACCTGCCCGGCCGGGTATGTCAGGGCGTCCGGTAACGAGGGAAAAGTCTGCGTGAACGGCCGCTGGAGGGGAGAAGACCTGGTGTGTGAAGGTACCTCCTGACATTCGACAAGAGGGTTATATTTTTGGCTTTGCCATGGTGGAGTGGTTGTGGTCTGGGTCTTTATGCATGTCACCAGCATGGCTGGAGAAACTGTGGGTGGATCTTCATGATATTTGGTAGGTGAGTAGCGGTTGTGGACATAAAGGTCAACAAAAAAAAAATCATTTTCTTACAATTGCATAAATTATGTAGATCAGGTAACACAGGTTACGTGCAGTTTACTTGCAGGACCAGTTTTGGCCGTGCCAGTTAGCGACACGGCCACACTTCGAGGTGTACCATGAAGAAATCAAGGGTCGTGAGCAATAAGGAACAACATAAATATGATACTTTAATATATGTGTATGTATCTTTTACTACCCAGCCCTACTGCCGGAACGTTCCGTATTTTGTTCATACATTTAAGGCATTTCAGAAGCTTTGCCTAATTATTGCAACCACCGTGGCTCATTCGGCACAGTAACGATCAAGAACCCCAAACGACGCGGGATCGAATTCCAGTGTCGGCATTTCTTTGAAATTTTCTTTTTAACAGCCGTTGTTTAACATTCAAAACTAATTGTTCTTACTCAGGAATGTCAGTAAGTTAGATTGTTACTCTTTTGTATTTTTGCACTTTTGTATTTATGTCTTGCAAGCCACAGTTGTTGGCAAACTAAACTCGCCGGTTTGAATCCCGCTGTCGGCATTGTTAAGATTTTCTTTTTATCAATGCCAAAATGCCAGCTTTTCAAAAGAGCTCTAACGACTTGGCGATGGCTTCATCTAGTTCCTTCTTTCTTTAGGCCGGCTAGATTTAAAAAAAGCTTTTCTTGTTTCTTCTATTTTAAGCTGCAGGACGAGTAGATGGAGTCTGGTTCGAATGGGAGGATTATGGTTTCTGCAGTGTGACCTGCGGTGATGGCGAGAAGACCCAAGTCCGCCACTGCAACAATCCGTCCCCAGCCCACGGAGGAGCGGAATGTACGCTTGAGGACGGGACGACAGGACTGATTGAACACAGGACCGTATCTTGCAACCTAGGCCCCTGTCCGATAGGCAAGTCATATATATATATCTGTATCTGTATCTGTATCTGTATAGCCGGTATAACCGCCTTTCGGCGTAACACACCAGCTTCGCAGGCACGCGGCGCGGCGGCAGCTGGCTATATTACACCGATCGACTTGTTACACCTAACCCTTGAACTTCTAGCTCTAGACATTGTTTAAAGCTATCTTGAATGGGACACCCTTTCCACCAGGCGAAAGTACAACTCACTGGTAATCATGTACAGGCTTACCAACGGACTTGTTCCTCCTCACCTACAGTCACTCGTTCCATCTACAAGAGGTGCCCAGTCAACTTCAAGGCTCCAACTCCGTAACAATACTCACCTCCACATACCGCGATGCAGGACACAGTCTTACAAAACCAGCTTCATTCCGTTCACCTGTTCACAATGGAACCAGCTGCCCCAGACAGTAAAGGATGTCAGTAGTCTTGCTGCATTCAAACGGGTGTGTAAAAAGCACCTCTTCACACCAAGGCACCATCAGTTGCACCGTAGTCTCGGCTCTAGGCAGTTCAACATCTATGCTGCACGGTTGCGCATGGGTTGGAGTCAATTAAACTGCACCCTGCACAAAATGAGCCTTAAAGACAAGACGTGTGCCTGTGGGGCCCCCTCTGAAACAGTACCACACTACTTGTTACATTGCCCCCTCCACACCGAGCCACGTAACACCCTTGCCTCCACTGTTGAACACCTTACTCAACAACACCTAACCACATCTGTCCTGCTCCAGGGTTCTCCAGCTCACAACTATGACACTAACACAAAACTCACAGATGCACTCCACACCTTCATTGCCCAATCAAAAAGATTTTGCGCTTCTTCCAGCTGAGCCACACCAAACATTATCTTGTAAATTGGTTTGATTTATATGAAAATGCTATTTTGAGTACCAAAATTGATTCTTAAAATTGGTTTGATTTGTATGTTTATGTTATTCATCTACTATTCATGTTTTTAACTATCTATTGTTGTACCCTTGTCACATGTCTAGGTGAGTGTTAGGTGTGTGCGCCATCAGCTTACTTGCTGCCTTGTACACACTTTGTATTGTGTTGTTACAATTCTGAATAAATAAATAAAAAAGCTATCTATTGACAATGCCCCTACTGTACTTGGTGACAGTGAGTTCCACTCTGCGATAGTTCTAGGAAAGAATGAATTCTTGAACACCTCAATCCTTGGTTGATAACTCTGGTACTTGAATGCGTGGCTATTTCTTGTTCTCTTCTGGGCTGGTATTAGGTACTTAGTAGTTGGGACATCCACCAGTTTATTAGTAATTTTGTACATCATGCATAGTCTAGACATCTTTCTTCTGTCTTCCAGTGAGGTCCACTGTAGGTTTCTTTTCATTTCCGTGACACTAGCACCTCTTACATAGTTGTTCATACAGAATCTTGCAGCTTGATTCTGTACCCTTTCCAATTTGTCTTTGTCTATGTACACATATATATATGTACATCGCAAGCTTATTAATCAATGAGTGGTGTCACTGCTATGAAAACAACACTGGTTTTGCCTTGTACACATTGTTAAAATGACATTCAAATCCATTTTTCAAGGACACATTTATGTTGTTTTTCTCCATTGCATGACGAGTAGATAGAGGCTGGTCCGAATGGGAGGATTATGGTTCCTGCAGTGTGACCTGCGGTGATGGTGAGAAGACCGAAGTCCGCTACTGCAACAATCCGTCCCCAGCCCACGGAGGAGCGGAATGTACGCTTGAGGACGGGACGACAGGACTGATTGAACACAGGACCGTATCTTGCAACCTAGGCCCCTGTCCGATAGGTAAGTTATTTATAATTCCTTGCAAATTTAACGTTACTTCTTTCCATTATAATGCTTTCTTCTTTTCATAATAATGCTACTTTGATTGTTTTGAAGTATCATGCAAAAATTGCTTTCTTATTTGTACATTAGACAATGCACAGTCAGGCCAAAAATGTTTATTGTGAAATATTTCCAATGATACCTATTTTTCCAAGTTTGTAACTACGTTACTAGTATAAAGTACAGTAGGGTTTCCCTCGTCAGCTCAAGTAATTACTTGATATATTAGTAGTTACTGTTAACTTTTGTCAGACTCGGACAAGGCCAAGTAGTTCAAAAAGCATCAACACACTTTCACATTATTCAATGAGCGGGGTCACTGACATCAAAACAACACTGCTTTTGCCTTGCACACATTGTTACAAATCCATTCAATTCCTTTTTAGGACATATATATGTTGTTTTCTGCTATTAATGTGTGCAGCTAGACGTTTTCAAAATGGAATCATAATTGAAAATTCTTTGATCGTTTTGAAGTATCATGTAAAAGAAGTCAAGACCTGATTATTACAATCTAATTATTGAAAAATAATATTGTATAAAAATGTAAACGGGACAAGTGTTGATTACATCGCAGCGAAACGCAATGAATGCGGAAGAGTAACTATGCCACCGCAGGGTAAAAAAACGTCGGGGGTCTATGACCTAATTACGACATGAAATTATTGAAAAATATTGTGTAAAAAATGCCAGCAGGACGCGACGACTGTTCTCGAGTGATCTGTCAAAATGGTGGAACTTGCGTGGACGGCATCAACACCTATAGCTGTAATTGTGATCTTGGCTATGAAGGAGATCACTGTGAAACAAGTAGGTACAATCTTGTTCAGATTAAAGTAACCTGTATGAAAGATTTTAATTGCGTTGTCCTTAAATAAGATGATATTGAATTGAGGAAAGTCATTGCTGACCATAATTCGTTATACAAGAGAATGCTAGAATTCAAGCTGCTTTTTCTTGGAAGCATATTGACTGACATTCCAAATGTCAATGCAGACACCGACGACTGTGTTGGTGTGACCTGTCAAAATGGTGGAACTTGCGTGGACGGCGTCAACACCTATAGCTGTAATTGTGATGTTGGCTATGAAGGAGATCACTGTGAAACAAGTAGGTACTCCTATTAGGAATGGATAAACTTGTATGACAGATGTTTATTACGCTGTTCTTTAAAAAAAGAGGATATTGAATTCGTCGTAATTGAGCAAGGTCATTGCTGACGATACCTTGGTATACAAGAGACATGCTAGAATCTAAGTTACCATTTCTTAGAAGCATATTGACTCTCATTCCAAATGTCAATGCAGACACCGACGACTGTGATGGTGTGACCTGTGAAAAATGGTGGAACTTGCGTCGGAACGGGCGTCAACACGGTATAGGCTGTGATTGTGATGTTGGCTATGAAGGAGATCACTGTGAAACAAGTAAGTACTCCTATTAGGAATGACGTAACCTGGATGAAAGATTTTTCATTGCATTGTCTGTGTATTGAACAACGGGACCATGTCGTAACGAGGAAATTCATTGCTGATCGTACTATGAAATGCATAGGATTTGTTAGAAATCAAGTTGCTTCTTCTCGGAAGCATATTGACTGACATGCCGATATGTCAATGCAGACACCGACAACTGTGATGGTGTGACCTGTCAAAATGGTGGAACTTGCGTGGACGGCGTCAACACCTATAGCTGTAGTTGTGATCCTGGCTATGAAGGAGATCACTGTGAAACAGGTATGATCAGTTATACTAGTATGTAAAAGGGGCAAATTCAACAATTTTTTACAACAATATCTTCCATGACAGATTTTCTCGCCATTGGAATCAGATTCTAAAAGGGTATTACACAACCGTTCCTTATCCTGCTCTTTGTACAGCGCAATGTCTCCTGAGTCCTCTCTACGGTCAGTCAGCAGACGAGGAGTACTCCCGAAGCTTGTGTGTTAACTATGACGTTTTACTCCCTGAAGTAACGAAACTGACAACGTCTTTTCCAACGTCTCTTGAGGAAGTTGGACTGAGCAATGTACTAACGGACCTAGAGGAGTTGCGTGACTTGGGTACGTGATAATTTCAGGCATTTTCCGCCCGTTTCTGCAGTTTTCAAATGACTGTTTCATTGTTTCAACTTGAAATATGTGTAGAAATACGCTTTTAGCCTCTTCCAGGCTCCAGAGGCGGCTGGAGAGTGCGGAAATTGGTCAAATAGACAGATAACATGCCAGCTAGTAGAGTTATTAACAAAGAATTATAAAGGAGTAACTCCCCTGGCATTTTGTCTGTCTATTCGTCCAATTTCTACTCTTTCCATCCACATCTGCAGCCTGGTAGAGAGTACTTGAAGCTTTACACTTGCACTTAAGACATTTAAGACATGTTAGGGTGTCACAGTTTTTGTATCTCTTGGTACGTAGGCTTAATTCCCTTCGAAGGAAGTGTAGGCCCGCTCGGCAATGGAGCCAGGCGCAGGCGGTCTCCTCCTCACTGGAGCCGTGTGGGAAATGTGACTAGTTTAGTCTACGACTCCCTCAGCGGTGCAGAAGAGCGACTGGTCGCCTTCGCCGCCGACAGCTTGGCAGGTCTTGGTGAGAATGACGACCTTGAAGGTTAGTATCTTTCTATAAAATTCAAGTTTTAAAAATGATAACTGGAAGAGAAGGGATCCCAACAAATGTATATACTTCTCGTTGGTAGACAGCAGATCAGAGGCCATAGCTTCAAACATTTAAAGTTCCCCTAGCAAAGGCCACGTGGAGTCAGGAGCCACGTGTTTAGCTGTGAGGTGTGTTCAAGACTGGAACTCACTGCCTAGGTGCGTGGTAAATAGTACATCAGTCGGTAACCAGTTCAAGACAAATGGAGCTGTGGAATTGTTTCGAATAGATGAAGGGTTTGAAAATTTTACAGACTCATCATGAAACCGCATTGAAAATCATGGATTGCTTTCTTAAAGAATGAAGTATTTAACCACAAATCTAGCCAACATATAGCCAAGGTACCTACTTATTTTTGCTAACTCCTTCAATGGGTCCTGTTGTAAGGTATTTGTCCAAAGATGGAGGAAAGTATTTGCACTTGTCTGATCCTATGTATAAGCTATAAGCTTAAAGTCTTGAAATCTAAACTTCAGTATTCTGCCCTGTCAAAGCATGCTAGCAGATCTAGATGTAACTGGATTTTCTACTACTCTGCTATCACATTCACTTAAGCGACAAGATTCAAGTAAAGAAACTCATTCCATAGGTTTGATTTGATTTGATTTGATTTATTAGAATTGCAAACAAGTACAATACTCGTGGGCCACAGGCAGCGGGGGCTGGTGTTGTGGCCCACACACAAAACAATCACAATTTAAACCTAGTATAAGTATATAAAAAAAGTATAAGGGTACTAAAAACAGCATAGATTAGAATACTAGTATATCAGTCCATTTTCTACTAGATACAATTCATGCGATTTCTAGCCGCCAGAATGTTCTCATGTCTGGGGCCACGTCTCCGGGTCAACTGGTGCTTCTACGAATCCTGACCGAAAATGTTGAACTGATGAAGTAATCTCCAAGCAGATCCTAGGGGGGCAAAATCAGTATTGACAGTATCAAATATTGGCCAGGAAGTATCCATTGGCAAGAGAAGATCCAATACGCCTCCCTATCTCCTTGGAGATTAGAACTGAAGGCTTTCTTATAAACTACCCTGCTACTACATTCACAAAGCGACAATGTTCAAGTATTGAAACTCGTCCATAGGTCCTAGTCGAAGCCTGACCGAAGATGTCGAGGGGTTCCCTACGAACTACCCTGAAACCACCGCCGAGGCAATGCCGTCCCTGGTGCAGGATTTCTACAACTTGCTCGACAGCTTCAACTGTATCAACAATGGTCCTAACTGTGAACTAACACGTGGCCAGGACGATGTGATCGAGTTAGACGACCACTGGTCCATTGTTTACAGGCCAGCACTTGAGTACGACCCCGGAAGCATGAAGAGAGCCGTAAGGTTTCGGATTCTCGTCGTGGCCTGGCGAGGCTTTAGAGTCTTCATTCGATGCTTCATATATTAAGAAAATAAGCAAGTCCTGATTCGTTTATTATAATGATATCTATTGATTTATTACCAGCACACTTGGGTGGAATGTTTGGTTAGCTCACCTTCAGCAGAATTGAGTAATATGTTAAAACTGTCTCTTTCTAATATGTTTTGCTGAAAACTAGATGATGAATTTGAAAAATCGTCTTTCCTAGAGTTCCGTTAACAATATGTATTACACGTTCTCAAGAATGCATTTTTAACACTTGTCATAGCAAAATTATATATCTCCTTGTACCCTCCCCCCGTCTTGTGATACGACTGACTATTTCGCATGTTATACATGATATATATCACTATATGTAAAACAAAATATGTCTTTATGTTGCCTGTACTTGTTCCTTGGGTCAATGTGCACTATGTCGGATGGCTTTCAGTTCTGTTGTCTGCTTTATTTTGTCCGTAGAAACGTACAAAATTGCTCATTGTTATGGAATGTAAATGCCATGGTACCGGTGCTAACCATATTAACTCAATGTTCTGAAACATGTAAAGATGGTGGTCTTATGACAGAAGTCACTTTGATAACGGTTGTAAATTAAATAAAATGGGAGTCAAAATTACCATGTTGTAGTGTCTGTAGAGATGTGTAGTGTCCTTTTGTCCTTTGAGATTGTATACCATCATACGCACCATAGATACATTTCCTTGGGAGGAAGGCGTAGCGTGCCTGACCTGCCCACACTGAAGTCGAGGAGGGAAGATGCGGCAGTACACCTGTTCCAACGCATGCTTCAGAAGGATCACCCTCTACATGACTTAGTTCCGCCTACTAGGTCAGGTGCCATGGGACGGTCACTCAGAAACTCTGGCACAATCAGTCTACCTAAAAGCCCGGACTAAGAGACTTAGCAACTCATTCCTTCATTGCGCTGTTCGCCTTTATAACAAGACAATCCAACAGTAGTGTTACATGTATATATATATATCGTACTTAGCTAAATTCTTCGTTATAACTGCATCTTATGCATAGATCTTAATTGTGTAATTGTCTCGTATATGTCTTAATATTGTGTTCGCCTATGTTGTTTCATGTGCACAATGAAGAGTGTCATAAATCATTGTTTTTAATGTTTTATATACCATGCATATGTAATAAGGACGTAATTCGGGTATTCGCCCGCGAGAGCCTTACTGAATAAAATTTGATTTGATTTGACATGTACGTATACGTACAGTATAATTTTTGTGACAAAAATACACACATCCAATCAATACCAAAAACATAACCTACATAACCAAATGTAACTATTCCATTGCTTAGTTTTCGTGAATAAGTCACACGTCCTAAAATCGGTTTTTTTTTTTGCTTTCGGCTGACTACCTGTTTACGTCGTATTTCATGAATTGGGTTCTAGATGGTATCTGCTTCCCATCAAGAACGTTCAACTTGACATTTAATCAATATCAATTGTCGTTATCGCCATTTGCGCCCCTTATCCAATAGACGGCGATCGCTGGGCGAGCAAAATTGGAACTTAAAATATGATCCACGATGTAAAATGTGATGTAAAAGACAACAAGACAAAGAAACCTTCAAAATCACGTTCTTTAACCATGAAATTAGTTGAGCGACCTGTGAAATGTTTGTTCGCTCATCGGTCGCAGCCTCTAGTGGAAAAGCCCGGGGTGTTGGAGATTTTACAGATCTGTAGAAGTGATAACGTTATTATACGTACCGTGGTGGTCTGACACCGCACGCGCATGTCAGTGCCCTAGGCCTCGTGCCCTCGTGTCGTCCAACAGGTTTTTCCGGCCCCAAAACAGCTACGCAAGAGCTTCGCAAAGAAAAGGGCACAGGTCGGCAACGTCACGTCAGGACACACAACATAACACAACACAACACAACACAACACAGCTTATCAGGACAACAAAACTTACCAGTGTCATATCAACATCTGTAAGAAGAGCAGTGAGTAAGAATGGGGTGAGTAGCAGCGCTGGTAGCCCAAACGTTCTGGTAGATAGTGTCAGTTTTGAAGCACCTTTGGTAACGTTAACTAGCCTGACTAAACCGCGCTCCCGGTGGCCGCCCGAGGCTAATGACCTCCACTCCTATCTAGATTAAATAAAAATGGATAGTACTTTCTAATGTGACAGAGATATAAGGAAGAACGAACGAATGACAGTTGATGAGCCACGTTCAGAATGATTATATGTTTGTGTCATTTCCTTGCACTTGACAGGTTCGGAGTTTGTTTCCTGTTCATGGCCCTTCTTCCAATGATAAATGCGCAGCTAATACTGAATATTGACGGTACCGTATGTTCTATTAAACTTCACTATGATTCATTCAGAATCGAGTTGTGCTCGTCATTCCTTCAAATACTATTAGTAT